TCCCCTTCCCTCTCATTTTCCCTCTCTACCCCATCTGCTGTTGTTTAATTCTCTCCCTTGGTTTTTTGTTTCTTTAGGGAAAAAAATGTATCATTTTGTAAAGCCCTGCTATATTTGCTTAGTGCATGTGATGTTTGACTTTATGTTTCAACTTGACTGGGTCACCAGCTGCCAGGCTTTTGGTCAAACATTATCCTGGGTAGGTCTATGAGGTTGTTTCTGAGTGAGATTAACATTTGAGTCAAGCAGATTGCCTACTTTATGTGGGCAGGCTTCATCCAAGTATTTGGACCTTGATAGGGGAAAAAGAAAAAAAAAAAACTTTGGGTAGGAACTCCTTCTACCTGGCTGACTGAATGAGATAGCCATCTTTTCCTGCCTTCTRAACAGAACTGAAGAATTAGCTCTTCTTGGGTTTCCATTCTGTCAGTTTGGAGATTAGAATTCACACTATTGGAACACCTCATTCTGGGGCCTTCAGACTCTCACTGGAACTACTATGCCAATGGCTTTCCTGAGTTTCCAGCTTGCAGATTGAAGATCTTGGGACTTCTCAGCCTCCTTAATTGCTTGAGCCAATTTTTTAAAAAAATATTTTTCTCTTTAATTGTAGATGGCCAACAGTACATTTACTTTATTTATTTTTATGTGGTGCTAAGGATCAAGCCCAGTGCCTYGARTGCCAGTCAAGCACTCTACCACTGAGCCACAACCCCAGCCCTTGAGCCAATTCTTTACAACAAATCTCCATAGAAAGATACATCCATAGGTAGGTAGATGATACAGATGTATAGATATGGGGCTAGGGATGTGGCTCAAGCGGTAGCGCGCTCTCCTGGCATGCATGCGGCCCGGGTTCGATCCTCAGCACCACCTACCAGCGGGGATGTTGTGTCCGCCGAGAACTAGAAAATAAGTGTTGAAAATTCTCTCTCTCTCTCTCTCTCTCTCTCTCTCTCTCCTCTCTCTCTTTAAAAAAAAAAGTAACAGATGTATAGATATGGATTTTTCTTTATTGGTTTGGTTTCTCTGGATAACCCTAATACAGTACATTGCACTATCAACAATTATCTAAGTCATTAAATTTTCTTTTTCAAGAATATAATGTTTGTAGAGTATACCATTGTAGGGTTCCTTTCTTATAAAAAATTTAGATTGCTTTCATTTTATATGTTATAAATAAATGCTGAAGTGAGTATAACTTGTATAAATATCCATGCATATTCCCGATTATTTCTTTAGAACAATTATATAAGTAGCTGGGTACTGTGATGCATACCTATAATCTCAGTTACTCAGGAGACTGAGGCAGGCAGTAGAATTACAAGTTCAAGAACAAGTTGCCTAAGCAACTTAGTTGAGACAAAAAAAAAAAAAAAGATCTGGGCATGTGGCTCAGTGGTTGAGTGCTTGCCTAGCATTTGCAAAGCCCTGGGTTCAATCCCAGGTACAACTAATAATAATCATTATTATTACAATTCCATAAATGAAATTGCTGAGTAAAAGAGTATGAAAAATGTATAAGCTTTTAAAGCATATTGTCAGGAGCTAGAGATGTAACTCAGTGGAACAGCGTATGCCTAACATGCACAAGATTTGATCTCYAGTGCTGCAAAGAAAAAAAATGAATGTTATCAATTAGCTCTCCAAAGTGGTTACACCCATTTATACATCTGGCAACAAGTCTAAAAGGGCATTTGGTCACTGCAGCTTCATTAATACCAAGTGCTAATGATTTTTTAATCTGCCAAATTTGATTTTTTAARATATCTTATTTTTCAATTTGATTTTGATTCACAGGCCAAACATTAAGCTTGTTAACTATTCATGTTCTTTGCTGATTTTTCTGTTGGAATGTTTTATCTGTCTTACTGATAAATAGGAACTCTATGTTAAGAACATAAGGCCTCAGTTTGGGTTGTAGCTCAGTGGTAGAGCACTTGCCTAGCATGTGTGAGTCACTGGGTTTGATCCTCAGTACCACATAAAAATAAATCAATAAAATAAAGATATTGTGTCCACCTACAACTAAAAAATAAATATTTTTTAAAAAGTATTAACTGATTGATAGTATTAACAATTAAATGACTATTTCTTCACCCCTCTCTCTCTCTCTCTCTCTTTTTTTTTTTTTTTTTTTTGGTACTGAGGATGGAGCCCAGAGGTTCTTTTACCACTGAGCCAAATCCCCATGGATGTGGCTTTGTGTGTGTGTGTGTGTGTGTGTGTGTGTGTGTGTGTGCGCTACGGATTGAACCCATGGCCTCATGCATGAAAGGCAAGTACTCTACCAACTGAGCCCCAGCTCTTTTTATTTTTATTTTGAGACAAGGTCTTGCTAAGTTGCTTAGGGCCTCACTAAATTGCTAAGGCTGGTCTTTAACTTGGGATCCTCCTGCCTCAGCCTCCTGAGTCACTAGGATTACAGGTGTGCCACCACACCTAGCTTAAATGCTTAAGTGACTATTTCATCTTGAATTTTAGWATATACAAATTGAAAACTATCATAACCATTTGATAAATGCTAATTTAGCTAAGTGCCAGTCATTATTGTTGGTCAAGACATACAAAAGACATGATCAGAAGACTGACACTTAAAAATATATATATTCAGGGGGCTATAGCTCAGTGTTAGAACACTTGCCTACCATTTGTGGGGCCCTTTGTTTGATCCCTAGTATCACCAAAAAAAAAAGAAAAGAAAAAAGAAAAATCCTCTTTACCTGTGCTTTGTATATCCCCTTTAGTCACTATTTATTTATTTATCTATCTATCTATCTATCTATCTGTCTGTTAACAGTGTTGGGGGTGATTATGCTAACAGATTTAGATAAAGTTTCAGACAAAGTAAAATTTTGGGTTATCTTGAATGGAGAATAGTCTATGGAATATAATTTGAAAACATCTTGATTTAGGCCAGAAGAAAGGATACTGTCCTTGGATTGAACTTGGCTGTTGCCCAGGTGGATCTGGATAACCTTGATCTAGCCACTACTCCCTGACCCCAGTACTGGGGATCAAACCCAGGCCCTCACATGATAGGCAAGTGCTCTACCACTGAGCTGCACCCCTAGCCCTAGCCACTTTTGTTGCCACCCAAAGATTAATTTCCCTCCTAATGGATGATGTGGCTCTCCCATTCAGAACCAAGTTTCAGCTAATTGTGTGATTAACTGCTTTCCAAAGGATAGTTTTTACAGTTGCTAATACCCTGAAACATTATCTAACCCTAAGGTATAAAAACAAATATTTACCTAAAATAATACATCTGAGGCTGTCTTCTCCATTATTTTTTCCTTGGATGTAACATTTTTCCTTCTTTGTTTTTTTTTCCTTCTTCATAAAAATCTGCATCTCTTTCTTCTGTGTTTCTCTTCTTTCCTTTGATTATCCTTCTTGCTTTACCTCTCTCTCTTGACTTTTATTTATTTATTTATTTATTTTTTTTTTGAGAGAGAATTTTTAACATCTATTTTTTAGTTCTCGGCGGACACAACATCCCCGTTGGTATGTGGTGCSGAGGATCGAACCCGGGCCGCACGCATGCCAGGYGAGCGCGCCACTGCTCGAGCCACACCCCCAGCCCTTGACTTTTTATTTATTGAAATAAAGAATTTAGCCAGGTGCTGAGCATGGAGGTGGACACCACTAATCCTAGTCACTCAGGAGGCTAATAAAACAGGAAGATTGTTAGCTCAAGGCCAGCCTCAACAACTTAGTGAGACCCTGTCTCAAAATAAAAAATAAAAAGGGCTGAGGAGGCCTGGGGTTGTAGCTCAGTGGTAGAGTGCCCCTGAGTTCAATCTCYAGTACCACAAAACAAACAAAATTTAGGTATATTCCCTGAAGTATATGCTTAATTATTCATATGTACTTGTAATTATTCTACTTAATTTTTTAAAAATTAAAAAAAAAATTTCATACTAAAGATTGAACCAAGCCCTTTTTATTTTTTATTTTGAGACAGAGTCTCACTAAGTTGCTTAGGACCTCACTAAGTTGTTGATACTGGTTTTGAACTTGCAATCCTCCTGCCTCAGCCTTCCTAGCTGCTGGGATGGTGGTGCCACTGTGCCCATTTCTAAAGTATTTTAATAATTATTGTTAAGTGTCATGTTTGTGGTTTTTACTTTTTAAAATAGATTAATTGAAACACTCATGTTATTATGAATAAATTAGTTTGCTATTCATAATTGGTCTTGAATATGCCCACTCCCACCTGACCTTGCAGTTGTTAAATGACTCCTGGTAGAAGAAATGATTTCCTACCAAGATACTGTAGTAATGCTGTGATGACAWTGTTTTATTTGAATTTCTTTTTTCTAAAGGCAACAATGCTGGGAAGTCTTTCTAGTTTGTATGGCTCTCTCCATACCCAAAGTCTTGTACAACTGACCATATTAGTTTTGCTAAGACCTAGTTAGCGTTCATATTATGTGCAAGTGCCGTGATGGTGCTAACAGCGTGGGAGGGATTTTTCATTTCCATAATCTTTATTTTCTGGTCTGTACAATTCACCCCTTCCTTAGTCTGAACTGGAGAACTGAGTGGATACATTCTCTTTCCAGCCAGATTCTTGTCCCTCAAGGCCTTTCCTATTCAGGGGTTTTACAGCTCTCACAGTACAGTTCTGCAGTAAAATACATAACAGCATGATCTTACAAAATTGATATATTGAAGGAATGGTTACAAAATAACTCTCTGTTTACAAAGGATTTATGTTGGAATGTTTTTAAAGTGCATATTTTCKTTATGATTTAAACCTTTCAGAAAGGCTTCTTATGGGTAAATAAAATTATCTTTCTCCTCCCTTGTCTGACATAGATATCCTTGTGCTGCACTTCACAGCTAGTCGTGTGTTTACCTCCATTTTAACAGCAATACCCCACACGGAGCTTTGGGTGGACTAAGAGAYCCTGGTTAAGACAGCAGCAGCTACCCTCGTTTCAACCACATCACTCCACTTTGAATATTTCCCATCTCTAAKCGGAGAAGCAAATATGCCTCTTAYTCTAAGAAAAAGAGAAAATGATCAGGAGGACAAGTTAAACAGTACGCGTACTTTAAGTGAAGGAGAAAAAGATCAGGATGTCATTAGTAGATCACTTCCTCTAAGTAAAAGAGAAAATGTTCAGGAGGAAAAGTTTGAAGATGCCTATGAAATTATCCCTATGGCAACAACAATGAATCTCCTGTCTTCCTTGGAAGAATGTACAACTGGACTATACTTATTTCTAAATAACAGATTCACAGATGCAATAAATCTCATTTACCCGTGGTCTAAAAACAGCACATACCATGCCCTATTATACAGTATGCTTATGGTTGTGAAAGCCATCCTGACTTTTGATCCACAGGACATACAGATTGGGATGAACGCTGCAAAGGAAGCTTTGAAAACCTGTAACAATTTCCGAAGAAGAACTAGGATAATGACTTTATCTCGTATAGTGAGTAGACAGGGAATAAGAGCTGTCAAAGAAGAAGAATTACATGCAGAAGTCTGCTATGCTGAGTGTTTGATCTTGAAATCTTCCATAGCATTTATACAGGATGACAGTATGATTAGTTTTCTTAAAAGTGGGCTCAGCGTTGGGTCAAGTTATCAAATATACAAAGATTGTCAACAGGTATTAACTCTTATGCCTCAYGGCCACAGCAAAGCCCACAGACATTTGGTTGGAGGGATAAAATTTGGACTTGGATCATTTAATTTGATGTTATCACTTGTGCCTCCAAAGACACTTAGACTTCTCAATGTTGTTGGACTTTCTGGGGAGAGAGAGGTAGGCTTGGCTTTGCTTCATGAGAGTGCATCTGAAACTCATATAAATAATATTTTAAGTGTTTTCACTCTACTCTTTTATTACAGTTACATCCATGTAGCTTTTGGTGTTGAAAAAGTTTCCAGTTTGGCTACAGAGAATCTCTTCCTCATATACCTCCAGAAATTTCCAAACTGTGTTGTACTTAAATTTTTTCATGCACGTTTTAGTATGTTGAGAGGAAATTTTGAAAAAGCACAATTGAAATTACATGAGTGCATTTTTACTCAGAACGAATGGAAACAGGTTCACCACCTCTGTTACTGGGAACTCATGTGGTGCCACATTTTTCTGCAGGATTGGAAGCAGGCTTACAACTATGCCCATCTACTGTATGTTCATAGCAGATGGTCCAAGGCAATATATGTGTACAGTAAAGCTATCATATTGGCTTTACTTCCTCCTGATTTTGTGAAATCACTAAATGATAACATGACCTCTCTCTTCTTAAATGTGGAAAACCTGAGAATCAAAATTTTAGGYACCCCTGTGCCAATAGAAAAGTTTGTTGCTGAGAAAGGTCAGCGCTATGGTACTACTACAGGCTGGTTTACGGCACAGCCCCTTCTGGAATTCATTTATGCCTGGAGTGGTTTCCGAGTCATGAGCAAAAAAGTAGAGCTTATTTCAAGCTGGCTATCAATAATTAACAAAGGAAAAGACCTTTTGCAGGAAAATCCAAATGAGGAATATGGCACAGATGACATAAGTTTCTTAAATTTGCTGAAAGGGCTATGCCTGAAACACCTAGGCAAATATTTGAAGGCTGAGCATTACTTTAATCGTGTTATTCAAAAGGAGAAGTTTTTAAAATATGACCACTATTTGGTGCCATATACTTACTATGAACTAGGAATTCTACACTATCTGAAAGGAGATTTTGCCAGTGCAACAAAATATCTAGACAACATAAAGAACTATAAAGACTATTCCATGGAAGCCCGGTTACAGTTTAGGGCTCATATAGCCCTTGAACAAATAGCTAAAGAAAAGTGATTTAAACACAAAGTGTGCTTTTGTTTAGCASGAGTGGAATATCTACAACCAGCAAAATAATTAGCAGGTAGAAAAATCATTTCTTTGTGGAAAAGAAGTTCAAGAGGCAGCTGCTAAGATCTGATCAGTAACAAATAAGAAAGGAATTGGCCATTTCTTTCTGCTCTTTTTTTCTCCTTATGTATAAATGTGATGATTAGACTTGCAAATGGAGTGACCGAACATTCTTGAAAAAGAAAAGGCAAATGCTTTCTTTACATTATAAAAATATTGTCTTAAAACTTCCAAGGCAGTTTTTAACACCAACTTAGATAATGTATACAACTTGCAAATAAAATAGGAAAAGTGGCCACACTCAGGATACCAGAGGCCTGTAAATGTTTTTTTTATTTAATTGTTAAAGAAAATGATCTCGAAGGTCTTACTGATGATATTTCAGTGATACACAGAATAGCATAAATTCTGAATGTTTTTCCCTTACATACAGTCACTTTTATTGGCTTTTTGTATCAGAGAATAATTTTTCCATTGGGTGAAGGGGAGTATTTTTTAACTTTTTTCATTAGGAAATTCAAATAAAGGTTTGTAATTTCCCACAGGATAGCAAAGAAAAAAGCACACCTCTCTTGCTACACACATAAACCCTTGGGAGATAATTGGGGCCAAAAGGATATGTCACTGGGTAGAAAGAAAAGACCAGGCTCTTGGAGAAAGAGTAACCYTCCCTTTCATTGTGCTCCCTAAAATGTTAATTCTTATTAAGATCAGCTCTTCAACATAATTAAACCACCTGTATCTATCCATTGTTGCTTGGCTAATCTGAGATTAAATGGCAACTATAAGGGATGATGCAACATTGTTTTACCTGCCTTAGAGATAAAAATCAGTTCCTAAAGACCAGACCAGTAAGTCAGGATAAATATAACCATCCCCCTTGTAGTCACCCTTTGAAACAGGTTGCTGGGGAAARTGTTGCTTGGTAAAACACAGTAGTATAGTACATTATCTTAATACTTTGGGTGTCCAAACAGTCAATTGGAGCACAATGAGGAGCCGAYAGTTCATATTTAGCATTAATTGCTTTTAAAAATATTTTCCCCATAAACTTTTATGTGAACAATAGTGCTTAGTTATTCCCCATTATTTAATTAGTATGGTTTAGTGGTTAAGAGGTTAAGAGGTAGTTGCTTGCCCAACTACCTAGATTTGTATTCTAGCTCTGTTACTAAATAACTGTATGATCCTGGGTGTGTCTGCTTTCATTTCCTTAGAGAKAATAATAGTACCTATCTCATGGTTTTACAATGTAAAGATAGAGCCAATAAGCCTCTTTTATTATTATTACTGGTACTACTAMTAATAATACCACATTATTCTTCAGGGCAGAGAACTTTCTTGGAAAAAGGTCCCTTTTCTTCCTGCCTTGCCAGTGTAAAATTTGACCTGTTAGTTTGCTTTCTCTGTTCTCCATTTAGCCTGGTCACTTACAAGTAACTCTGTCTAAATTGCAGTTTAATGTTTTGTAAAATATCCCAGCTTCTTCCTATAAATAGCAAATTAGTTGATTGATTAAACAAATATGTATTGAATGCCTACTGTATGCAGACACTGAAACACAGTACTGAAGACATACTATAAAGCATGATCTCTTTCCTGAAGGCCTTATTAGGGAGGTAAATTAGAAAAGGGTTTCACTGGAGGTAGAAGCACTTAAAATACTCATTTGAACAGTTTATTTGCCCCACATAAAAACAATCTGAAGATAGATAATTCAGGTCTGCTATGACCCTTTTGTCTTTCTGTTTAGCATGAAACCCTTCTCATGCTTGTCTCCTCATAGTGGGAAGAGGCTGCCTTACCTCCAAGCTTTGTGTCCAAGCCCAATAGGCTGAAMAGATAAGGGACAAAGGGGCTTTCTCTCTGCTAGGAGGCTTTGCCTTCTTATTTCAGAAAGGACTGCCTTGCTGGACATGGTGGCACCTGTAACCACGACATTTGTGAGGCTTAGACAGTAGGATTGCAAATTCAAAACCAGCCTCAACAATTTAGTGAGGCTCTACACAATTTCGTCTCAAAATAAAAAATAAAAAGGACTAGGGATGYGGCTCAGGGCCCCTGGTTTAAATCGCTGGAATAGGGGGTGGGGTTGGGGGAGGAAGAACTGCCTTCCTAGGGAATTGATGTACATCTCAATTGCTAGAAATATTTGTATAGCCCCTGTTAGTTGCAAGGGAAAATGAAGATTGAATTTTAGCTTTCAAACCTCATTAGGAGGTTTTTGGGAGAGTTGTTAAGTGGACAACTAGCTGCCACAACAAATATGTAAATAACAGACTACCAAAGGGTTTGAGTGTGGTGACTCACACCTATAATCCCACCTATTTGGGGGCTGAGGCAGGAGGATCATGAGGCCAGCATGGGTAACTTAGTGAGATCCTGTCTCAAAATAGAACTTGAAAAGGAATGGGGGTGGGGCTGGGGATGTGGCTCAAGCGGTAGCGCGCTCGCCTGGCATTGCGTGCAGCCGGGTTCCATCCTCAGCACCACATACCAACAAAGATGTTGTGTCTGCCGAGAACTAAAAAATATTAAAAATCTCTCTCTCTCTCTCTCTCTCTCTCTCTCTCTCTCCCTCTCTCACTCTCTCTCTCTCACTCTCTCTAAAAAAAAAAAAAAAGAAAAGGAATGGGGGTGTCATTCAGTGACAGAGCACTTGCCTAGCAGATGTGAGATCCCAAATCCAATCCCAGTTCTGCAAAGCAAAGCAAAACAATACAAACCAAAAAAAAAAGCACAAAACACAAAATGGGGAGAGAGAGAACACTGCAACAATGAGATCAAGGAATCACTGGAGAAGACCATATAAGGACCTGACAGGAAATCTTGGAATGGCATTACCTTTRTGAAGTTGCTACCCACTGAGCCCAGATTCTAGCCCTTACCAGTCCAAGACCTACTGAGATACAGAGACTAATTCTATCCAAATTCACAAGAGATTGAAGTAGAATTTACTAATTTCTTTGTTTCTTATAGAAGCTTTCCCAGAGTTGCAAACTTAAATTTCTATAGGGATCAGGAAGGTAATGTAAATATATGAAGCAACCAAGCGTAAAATAATAGTGGTAGAAACTAGCTTCAGTGAATAGATGACACAGTGTAGGTCATATTAGACCTAGCTGCATGTTTTGCTATGACTTATTGGTCTCCAATTAGTGACTTATCATCTATCCCTTTCTATTGACTAGAAAGTTCTCGTGTTTCATCTTGAACACGATCTGTCCTGATAAACAGTGTACCTGGAAAATCAACAGTCACAAAGCAGCATGCTGAGGATGGAGTTAAGACAGAGTAAGGCAGATAGTTTTAGGAATATCTACGCCATGTCAGTGTAACACCTGATGAATCATCCGTTCTCACACTATGCATCCATCCTGGGAAAATGTCTCCCAAATTCTCAGGACTCTAAGACATATTTCTCAAACCCCAGCTTTCAGATTTTTCTTCTCTGCCTTCTGCTGTTAACCATGGGTTACTGAATATTCAGGAAAGGTACAATACACTGTTTCCATTTACTAACATACAAGCCATTTCAACCCTGCTTCCTGGCTTAGAATTTCAGTTGTTYCCACATGCTTTGGTCATTCAGATTACAGATGGTCTCTTTGTGCAAATGAATCACAGATCTAATCAYATCCATTTAATTTAACTTTTTGGGTCAGTTTATAAGAGATTAGAGGAGTTATCTCATGGTTGCCTTTTGTACCGTAAACACAAATAAGACGCTATTGAAGCACTTTTTATGCAATGAAGAAATTTTCCTATCCAATTTAATGGAAATAATTACTACTGGAAGAGGCCCAAGAGCCTGGAAAAAAAAATGAATGGGATGGGAAGGGCTTATGCATAAAGAACAAAGAGAATTTTTGTTACAGACCTGAGTCCTCAAAGCTCTCAGTATGTCCTTGCCCCAATCCAATCAATGAGTAAATTATGTTGATTACTTCTTTGAAATATCTTTTGAAYTTTTTTTTTCATTTTCACTTTTTTCAGCCTAGACTAGGACTTCACTTTTTGTCTGGACTACTGCAGTTGTCTTTAGGAACAGTAATTCAGTGGTGAACATCCTGTTTTGTTCCAAGGAAATTCCAAGGCAAAATAAAAATTGCCAACCCCACATTTTTTTTCAAATAAAAATGAAATCTATATAAAGCATGTATATTTTTGCTACTTCAATTTCTCACTTCATTAGATAGATAGCCACAGAATTTTAGCCATAAAGATTTATTTTAATTTTTTTTTCTTTAGACATGCTAGGCAAGCATGCTACCATTGAGTGACATCCCCAGTTATAAAGATGTTATTGTCTTGGCATATTTGTCTGAGAATATTTGAGAAGCAACATAAAAATAGTTTTCTAGGCTTTCAAACTTTTGCTTAGTTCTTCAAAATTCATAAAGTCTGTTCACCTAAGAAAACAAGMCTATCTTTATGTTAAGGGAACCACTCCTTCTCTGAGAAGGTAAAATCCTCCCTCTGGCAGGCAGGATGAAAATGATCAATTTGGAGACACCCCTCTTCAAAAATCATATCTCCTGCAGGTTTCCATGGAGATGACCTATCATATCAGCGATTTGGGAGGCCAAAAATGAGACAGAAGGAACACAAATTTGAGGCCAACCTCAACAATTTAGTGAGGCCATCTCAAAAAAAAAAAAAAAGGCTGGGGATGTGGCTTAGTGGTAAAGTGTGTGTGTGTGTGTGTGTGTGTGTGGCCCTGAGGCTAGAGAATCACTTAGACTCAGGAGTTCATGACCAGCCTTGGAAACATAGCAAGACCTGGTCTCAGAAAAAGAAAAAAACATCCACTTAGTGTTAATCTTATTAATCTTTAGGGTTGTGAGTGTAGCTCAGTAGTAGAGGATTTGCCTAGAATGCASGAGTCCTGTGTTCCATCCCCAGGACCTCCAACAAGAAAATTAGTATTGGGAAGTTCTTAGAAT